AGGAATATTTTTTTGGGGGGGTAGGGCAGTACTGGAAATTGAGTCTATAATGAGTAATGTTGGAGTTTTAAAATTTATTAAGATAAATATATTTTAAAATATATTTAAAATATATTGGAGTAAGAGAGAGCATGTGCAAGAGTTGTGAAATCCTATTGTCATACAGATTACTTTTTAATATAGGGGAAACAAATAATAACCAAAATTTATTTTTTAAATATGTTGTGGATGACAAGTGCTAAGAAAGAAAGTGGAGAGGGTAAGGAAATGGAGAGTGATTAAGTGTGTTCTCCTTTGGATTGATTGGTAGGAAAGCTGTCTGTCATGTGAGACTTGTGCAATAAAGAAGGAAGATTGAGGGAAATGAAAGCAGGGAGCCATGAATATGTCACTGGGCAGAGAAAACAGCATATGCACATTTCCCGAGGCAAGGCAGTAATTGGCACATTTAAGAAATAGCCAGGAGACCCAAGTGAATGGCATGGAGAACAATGGCAGAAGAGGAGATCAGAAAGGTTTAATATGAATCTCTCTTATCTGATATAGTTCTTTAATTAATCAAAAATTATTGATGTCAGGGAATCTTATCCTACCTACATAGACATTTCATCTTAATTTATATCTTATAAAAGAGGTGTAAATTACATAGAAGTAAAACTCACAGCTTTTAAGTGTACAGTTCAATGAGTTTTGAGTATTGTTAAACCCTACAACTCATACCCCGTAAGAAACTGCATCTATTAAATATTTCTTCCTTGTGATGCTTGTGTTCTCCAACTTCCTGAACAAACTGAACATGTGCTTCTTCTAGAAGGATAGTTGAGTCTTCATTCTTTTTTCCTGTTTGATAATATTCCTGATGATAACACTATTATACTGTTATTACTGCTAATAAGCATTACTGCATACTAAGTCCTTTGTGGCAGACACTGTTATAAGAACTTTATGTATAGTAATTCATTAACATTTATCCTAGACTTATGAGGAAGTTACCATTATTCTCATCATGTGGGTAGGAATATCAAGGCATTAACTTGAATTAACTCATATGCTTACTGAGTATTGGAATCCAATTCAAATCATAAAATTGTAATTCTTCAACATATGTGTTTTAGAAAAATTCGTATTTTAGATCCTATGCTAGGTTGCCTCCTAAATGTTGAATTTGATCTTATGAATATTTGGTCTTAATTGAAATTTAAGTGAAGGGCATATTTCTTTGCTTCTATCCCATCACCCTTTACAAAAAGCATGTATTGAACATTACCTTTTTCACTTTTTTTTTTGTCTCTGAATGTATCAGTTTGGTGTGATTTTTTACAGCAGACCCTTTGATTTAGGCTTTAGGTGGATTCCCCGGTCTATTTTAATAATTTTGATCATCATTCATGCAAATGTCAGTCTTTCTACCAATCATATTTAGAGCCAAATCAGGACTTTTTTTTTAGTGCTTAACTAGATTTATCAGTGTGTGTGTGTGTGTGTGTGTGTGTGTGTGTGTGTGTGTGTGTGTGTGTGTATGCAAAACTGTCTGGTCATCAGCTTCCAGAAGCTCCTGTATAACTATTTAAAACAATAAAGTTTGCTTGGTGTCTGAACCTTCTGGAAACCCTACCAGCAGTCTTACACTAGCTTCCAGGATCCTTTGGCAGCTTTGAGTATAGTCTCATAAAATAGATTGAATAAATTTGCACCCATTATGCAATTTTCTACTAAAGAAAATATATGACTATAGATAAAAATGTCTAATAGCAACTAAACTCAATTCCTCAGGGAAGTAATAACCTCCTAATTGAAAAAAACAACAAACCAAAATCAAAACAAAGATTTTTCTTCTTATTTTAATACCACAGTTACCCAAACCTCTAAACTTTATCTGGATTTTATTTTTATGTTTAAACACCATTTTAATAAAGATTGGAAGAATGGTATATATTTTAAAGTAAAAATCTGGAATATATGACTGATATTATTTAGTTGGCAGGAGAAAAAGGGGAAAGCAACTGATTGGCAAGATGGTACTTGATAGTTTTTTATTTCTTGACATTT